AGTTTGCAGGAGACAATTAGTTCACTTAATTTGTTCATGACTCTCCGAGACTCCTTGCCAAGTTTTGCAGATATCGGCCTGGCAGCTTTCCAAGCCAGATAAGCTCTGTGACTGTAAATCCTCCCACAAAAGATTTTGCTGGATGTGAATGAGCAGAATTCACAGTCCATTAATAAAAAGGGTTTTTTTTTGTCGAGACAAGGAGTTTGCTTCATGCTCTTGGGAAGCTTCAGTCAGAACACTTAGCTTCAAGAGATCCTGAAATGTTTGTCTGAACTGACACACTTAAGCGAACGTTGCTCAGGGAACATTATATCTTTGATTCAAGATTTATTTTATGCCTGGGTGAAAGTCGCAGTTAACAAGCCGAAAGCAGATTAATGCACCTTGGGTACCTACAGGCTGAAGGAAACAGTTTTTTTCTTTTTAAAAAAAGCACATTATATTTCGGGAAAAGAGAATGGACAGCGAGAGTTGGTGGCTCATACAAGTATGGTCGTCTTCGACTTACGACCGCCATGGAGCTCAACATTTCCGCTGCTAAGTGAAACATTTGTTAAAGTGAGATTTGCCTTTTTTTAAAGACCTCTCTGGCCGCAGTTGTTAAGCGAATCATTGTCGTTGGTAAGTTGAGTCACACGGTTGTTAAATGAATCTGGCTCCCCCGCTGAATTTGCTTGCGAGAAGGTCGTAAAAGTGGATCTCAGGATGTTCCCTAGTTGGGTCTTTGAAATGTCTGCAAGAAAACCAGCAAGCACAGAGGGTACTGAGAACCTCAGTTGCCCTTCCTCCTTCTCCTCTTCCTCCCCCTCCACTCTGCAAGCCTCATTTTCTTCCAGCGCTGATGACGTTACGTAGCTGGGTCATGAAACGTCTGCAAGTAAAACTCCACGCTCACTAAGGACCCCACAGTTCTCCACTTCCAACCCTTGCTTTCTCCTCCACTCGGCAAGCCCTCCCCCCACCCCACATTCCAGCCCTGGAAAGTTGGGTCATGAAACTGCAAGAAAATCCCCAAGCTTAGAGAGCACCATAGTCCTTTTTTTCTCCTTCTCCTCCATGCAAACTCCACTCCCTTCTAGCCCTGATGATGTTCCGTGGTTGGATCATGAAACGTCCTCCAGAAACCCCCCCCCCCACCTCAGAGAGCACCAAGGACCCGTCAGCCCTCCTCCTCCTCTGTGCAAACCCCTTCTCCCTCCTACCCCTGATGATGTTCCCTAGTTGGGTCATGAAATGTCCTCCAGAAAACCTCAAAGGGGACCAAGGACCCCACAGTCCTCGTCCGCCTCCTCTCCACAAACCCCACAACCTTCTAGCACTGATGATGTTCCCTAGTTGGATCATGAAATGTCCTCCAGAAACCCCCCCCCCACCTCAGAGAGCACCAAGGACCCCTCAGCCCTCCCCCTCCTCCCTGCAAACCCCTCTCCCCTCCTAACCCTGATGATGTTCCCTAGTCAGGTCACGAAACGTCCTCCAGAAACCTCCCCCCCACCTCAAAGAGCACAAAAGACCCCTCATCCCTCCTCCTCCTCTGTGCAAACCCTTCTCCCTCCTAACCCTGATGATGTTCCCTAGTTGGGTCATGAAACGTCCTCCAGAACCCCCCCTCGCCACCTCAGAGAGCATCAAGGACCCCTCAGCCCTCGTGGGGGTCGCCAGGAGACCCCCTTCTCTGCTGCCTCAGCCCTTCTCCTCCCCCCCCAAAACTCCCCTTCCTCCCCCACCGCCCGCCCCTCACCCAGGACGTCCCGCCAGCCTCAGCTCCTCCCTCCCTGCCCCCCCCCATCCCATCCCATCCATCCTCGCGCCCACTCCCTCAGAGGGGTGGGGGTGGGGGCGGCTGCTGCTGCTGTGAGGGCAAAGGCTCGGCTTCTCCCGGCGCCACCGCGCCTGCGCCGTGCCGGCCGGGGCGCCGGCTCTGATAGGGAGCAGGGGCTGCCACTTCTCCCCCCCCTCCCTCCCTCCCTCCCCTCCCCTCCCCGCGTGGGCGGTGGCGGCGAGGCGAGGGAGGGGAGGCGGCGGCGGAACGTCCCGAGGATGACGTGCGGCGTCCTCGAATCCTGCTCGCGCGCTGGGGCCGCCGGAGGAGGAGGAGGAGGAGGAGGAGGAAGGAAACGGGCAAGGCGGCGCGAGCGGGAGCCGCGCGGCGGCGGCGGCGGCGGCGTGGAGGAGGCGGCTGAGGCGGCGGAGGAGGAGGAAGAGGAGGAGGGAGAAGAAGGAGCAGCAGCTGCTGAGGAGGAGGAAGAGGAGGAGGAGGAGGAGCGGCGCTGCCGCCGCTGCTGCCATGGCGGCCCTGGAGCGGCCCGTGCCCAGTCCCGAGGCTTTCCTGGGGCAGCCCTGGGCCGCCTGGGTGCGGGAAGCCGCCCCCCCGCACAGTAAGACACCCGCCTCCCCCTGCCGCCATGCCGTGGGTGGGGAGGGGGAGCGAGGGAGGGAGGGAGGGGAGGCTGGCACGCCTCGCGCTCTTGCACCCCAGACCCCGTGGCGGGGGCGGAGGGGTCGGGCTGAGGGTGGGGGTCGCGGGTG